ACACACACACACACACACACCCGCCCACACAAACACAAAGAAACAGACACATACAGACAGACAGAGACACAGACACAAACAAAAACACACAGAAACACACACACACCCACACAAACACAAAGAAACAGACACATACAGAGACACACAAAGACAAACACACAAACAGACAGAAACACACACACACAAACAGACAGAGACAAACACAGACCCACACACAGAGACAGACACACACAAATAGACAGACAGAGACAAACACACACACACAGATGGCTGTTAAACAATGCTTACAAAGACTCTGCTCTGTGTTTGCACAGACACACAGACACACACACACTAACACACACACACACACACACAGACCCACACACACACACCTTCCTGATGGCGGTCCAGTCCTCCAGGATGTCCAGGTCGGGCAGCATGTAGACGATATACGGCCGTGAGCACGTTAAGGAGCGACAACACAGACCCGAACATCCAAAAGACAAAACAAACAAACACACACACAAACAAAGACACAAACAACCAACCAACCAACCAAACAAACACACAAACATACAAACAAACAACCAAACAAACAAACACACAAACAACCAACCAACCAAACAAACAAACAAACACACAAACAAACAACCAAACAAACAAACAAACACACAAACAACCAACCAACCAAACAAACACACAAACAACCAACCAACCAACCAACCAAACAAACAAACACACAAACAAACAATCAACCAACCAAACACACAAACACACAAACAAACAACCAACCAACCAACCAAACAACCAACCAAACACAAAAACAACCAACCAAACAAACAAACAAACAAACAAACACACACACACAACCAACTGACCAAACAAACAAACAAACAAACAAACAAACACACAAACAAACACACACACACACAACCAACCAACCAACCAAACAAACAAACAAACAAACACACACACAACCAACCAAACAAACAAACAAACAAACACACAAACCAACCAACCAACCAACCAACCAATCAGACAATCACACACAAACAAACAACAAACCAAACACACAGACAAAAGGATATCGGACACCACTGAGGGCCGTCTTCTCTTCTTATCGGGGCTCAGAGCGTCTCTCCTCCTCCTCCCCGTCAGCTCGTCGTTCCACAGCTCTGCACAGACACACACGGTGAGACTCGGGGGGGCGGAGCCTCCTCGCCGGGCGCCGTTTGGACGCCGTTTGGGCGCCGGCTCACCTGAGGTGATGTCGATGCTGTGCCGGTCCTCCTCCAGACGGCGGATTTTCTCCTCCAGCTCACTCTGAACCGTATCGAACAGCAGCAGCTTCTCACTCTGCACCAATCACAGACTCAGAAACACTCCAGGAAGTGTGTGTGTGTGTACACACATATATATATATATATATACAGAAAAACCTCTATTATGATGCCTAAACATACAAATTTTCCAACATCAGAGGTGAAATTCGATCAAATATTCGATCAATATATATACTCCACACCCGAAGGAAATTTCCAACACACATCGAAGTCAAACAAAAATATATAAAATATCCAAATTAAATAAGAATAACTAGTCTAAGTTGGTTTAGAGTTCCTGTGTAAAGTCAGAGTGAGTTAGGGCTGGTCCTGTATCTCAGTCTCCACCTCTACCTCCGTTCTTCAGTCTCTGAGCTAAAGGGACAATAAAAACCCTTTTTATTGATTATTTCTTTATAATTTATTTATTTTTCCATCTCTCTTCTAGAATTCATCTGTTTTCTTGCTATGTGTAATTATCTGCAGTATTTATTAAGGAGTTATCGTAGGTTTTTGGAGCCAATTCTAGGAATTACAGAGTATTCTGATGAAAGATTTGAACCAACATACCAACATTTAACATAGAAGTCGCTCCTGGAACCAGTTAGACTCCTCTGTGGAGCTTCTACTGTATATCTATATGTGTGTGTGTGTTTGTGCGTTTATGTGTGTGTGTGTGTCTGTCTGTGTGTGTTTGTGTGTGTGTGTGTGTCCCACCTCCCAGTGTTGGAATGCGGCCTGGATCTCGCAGTCATACTTGTTCTTGACAGATTCCAGACACAGCTCTCTGTAAATACCTGACACAGGGGGGCCTTGTGAGCGGGAGTGGGGCCTTAGAAACCCGAATGGGAGCGTTTCCAGTGGGAACGTCTCCTTTGGGACGTACCTGCCACTTTGGTGCGGACCTGCATGTTC